GGATTGTAGTATGGGTTAGGGCCCTCTAAGATAGCATAGAAAAAAAAAAAGAGGAGGTGGTCTGCGTTGGGTGGTCTGCGTTGGGGCCTTTCCTCTTCGCAGGACCAAGAGGAACAGAATGACCAGATAGCCGGGTTGGAGCTAACCCGAGCCCAAAACAGGTCTGGTAACCTGGTTATAGAGTCATGGATTAAATAACCTCCCTAGTGGTATGGAGTCCCGGGAGTGGAGAGAGGGAAGTGGAGGGGAGGGGAGGGGGGGGGGCGCACGCGTGTGGAACCTGGGCTGCTGTGTGTGCGTGTGTGTGTGTGCGTGGGTGGGTGGGTGGGTGGGTTGCGCGTGTGGGCACTGGGAGGAGAGGAGTTCAGAAGAGGAGCTGTCTGGAACCGAGAGACCGGGAGAGACGACGGGAGTCTGAGCAGTGAGAGGTAATACTCGTAGTTGTCTTACACGTCGGCAGTGCGGATTAAATTATTATTAAATTATTATCATTATTATCACTACCCCCTTCCGTAGTCGTAACCACCCAACTTCTTGCTCTTCTTCCTGATTCTCTCTCCTATTCTGCTCAACCCTAGGCTTTTAAGGACCAAATGACAGAGAATGGAACGCTGATAAAGGCGGAGAGGCAGTTGTCAGAGTCTTTACATCGGGGGGGGGGGCTCTTCCACCGTCACGGCATCATCATCATTACTCCGTAGATACTCCGTACAATTGCCTATATCAATACTGCTATCACTCGTACTACGGAGTGCCTGTCCACATTAAACACCTGTACGGCCCGTGGGTCGTGGCTAACATGCATATATCATACATATATCATATACGTATGTATGTATCATATATATATGTGTATATATATATACTAGTGGTTTGCCGGTATGACTGACTACATACCACGATACGCTCTATACACGCCGGGTGCTATGCCGTATCATATCAGCGGGACTCTTCCCGCCGTGGACAGGTACCGCTCAGTGGGGGTCCAGTGTCCGACTCACTGGTAGGATGGTCGAGCCGACAGCAGGCAGGACACAGCACAGCGGCCGTCACTACGACTCTGCACGGGCAGGTATGTGATTGCTCGATTGCTCAGCAGGACAGGGGGCGGCTAACAGCACGACGCAATACTTCGATATTGCCATTCATTACTCCGTATTCCGTACTCGTTCGTGTATTCATGACGGTGGGGCGGGGCGGGGGGGGGGGGGGGGGGGGGGATGCCACCATGCCGCTGCCACGGATCCGCACTCCATTCGTCTGTCAGTTTGCCATGACGGTATCAATTTTAGTCCAGTTGATCTATCAGTCGACCAGCTGATGATATTTAGGCCCAATTACGACACGCCAGCCCCCTCCCTGCTGGCAAGTACGAGTATGCGGAGCATCGCAACGCCCGTGCACGCATCGACGCTCGGTAGACTTGCTGATAGGAGCCTAGCCCCAGGGCCTAGGTACGCTGCAGAGAATTGGAGTCTTGGACGCTTCTACGGCGCCGCGCACCACCAAAGACCACCGAGACCACCCTGTACCGATAACCCCGTCACCGGACCCGATAGAGAGGATCCGACAGGTGGGAAGCGTTCCTTAGGCGGCACAGCCCGCCCGCAGAATCTCAGGCTAGTCATTCCCAGCGCTCCGTCACCATCACCAGGGCTCGTGTCTCACGAGTCGCTCGTTTCCTCACCTCACACACACACACTCACACACACACTCACTCACACACACACTCACTCACTCACACACACACACTCACTCACTCACACACACACACTCACTCACTCACATNCACACACACACTCACTCACACACACACTCACTCACTCACACACACACACTCACTCACTCACACACACACACTCACTCACTCACATATATATATATATACACACACACGCACTCACACACACATATATATATACACTCACACACACACACATGTATGCACAGCGACACGGCACGCACACGATACGAGTACACACACAATCTCTCTCTCTCTCTCTCTCTCTCTCTCTCTCTCTCTCTCTCCCTCTCTCTCCCCCTCTCCCTGCTTTCAATCTATTGATAAATAAATAAGAATTTCCTCACCTCTCCACATATCGATCCTCTAGCCATACTCCCTGTCAAGCTTCAAGACTCCGACAGGTACTCGTACTCACCCATGCGCCTTCCTCGTACATGATCCAGCATTAGCCTCGTCGGTCTAGCCTTCATCATATACCACAGCACGCTCGATTTCGAAGCTACCGTGCAGTAGAGGCACGCTACTGTCACCGTCCTCCACTCGTATCTGCCACGTTCGCATGGAAAGCCGACCGCCGTCGGCATCATGATCATCCCAACGACCAAGATACCGGGCTGGACCGATGTCCGAAAAACCGACCCAAGATACCCGCACATACGACTACGACGACGTAGGGCATGCACAGCCAAACACACAACACCCCCCCCCCCCCCTCTCCGTCTTGGCACAGTCCAGCTGAGTCCGAGGACGGATGCAGAGTCAGCCGGGGCAGCCGCACACTCAGACGGTCGGCAACCGATACAATCATCCATGACCTACAGATTCCGTGACGGTCAACGAGAAGAACAGAAGCGTTGCCGTAACACGCATCATCTCGCGGGCACACTTTGCTCTGCAACTTCTTCCGTGGCCAGCGGCTCTGCCAAGTGCAGTGCAGGCTGCAAGCTCTCCTCACGACCCATATTCCCCGTTACGAGTGACTTGCCCGTACAGCGTCGTATCCTCCCTCCTCTGTGTACGGAGCGGTCACGACCCCAACCCCCCCCCCCCACGGCCAATCACTTCCCTCACCCCTCACGTACCCGGCAGCAGGCATCCTCTTGCATTAGCAGGTTGCGCCAGAGGGGTCAGACGGGGAGAGAGGGAGAAAATCAGTAGATGTTACGAAGTGTGCTTCGACGGTAAGATGAGAGGCTTTTTTTTTTTTTTTTTGCCCTCTCCTTTCTGTCCGACACCCCGAGGTTATTATAGTAATCGCAGATGCTGTATCGGCAGCATCGTGGCGCGGATACAGTCTTGGCTCCTTGAGACGGTACATGATACGATTATAGTGTCAATCACCACAGCACAGGGAAATGTTGACACAGTGGCAGACCGGGCAGGCTGACTGGCTGGCAGTAGGAGGGAGCACCGAAGCCGGGCATGGAGCAGGGAGGAGGAAGAGACGACGCCGTCCCGCCACCTGCAAGAAGACTCTGCCACGTCGCCGACCAGCCAACGATCCGTCCTCCCGCGTCCGCCGCTGTCTTGGTTTCGTTCCCGACCTCTCTCAACGGCCTAGATTCTTTGCCTCTCCGACACCTGATACCGCTGATGGTGATCAGCATCATCATCATGACCAGCGACTTGGGAAGGATGAGAAGGGAAGGAGAAAAAGAAAGAAAGAAACTCGACCCAGGTGGCCGGTTACCAGTGGCGAAAACCCCCCGGCACGGGTATATGCACGACGTAATAACACTCACCGGAACCAACCGAGGAGGGGGGGTGCACAGTCACGTCGCAGAGGGAAAAAAAACTTGCTGCGTTAGCTGCAACGTCGGTCGGGGGCCAAGTCTGGAGAGGGGCATGACCTGCTTGATTGAGACGGCCGAGAGAAATCTGTCCTTCCTCCCGTATGCACGGGATTTTCCAGCGCCGCCAATCGACGTGAGGATTGGACTATCTCCGGGGACCTCAATGCTTCTACCCAATCTTCTCTTCCCTTCTCTTCGCAGAATGTCGTCGTAATATAGGTGTAGGTGTGATTGCGGACTACGACGACGACGACGACGACGATGATACGAGCAAGGTATCGCCCGTTCCGTGTATATCGACATGAGCGGGGACTCGTACCGGTGCTCCGGCACAGCGGTTCAGGAATGTGTTTGCTATCCAAAAGGAACCAATCCCCATAGAGGTGAGGACTACTCGTATTACGGAATATGGGGTATCATTATAGAGCACCCGTGTTGCGTGCGTGTCTGCGTCTCCCGCTACACTACAATACGTTGGCGGCGGATAGGACGAGCTCTGTGAGTATCTACTACACAGTCACCACAGATATATCCAGTAGCTATTACCGCAAATATCACCATTCCCTTTTCCCTATCGGTACGTCTTGTCTGTTCATGCTCAGTATACGATCAAAGCCGTATAGTATCGACCAACACATTCGCCATAGCTGATGCCGTCATCGCTGTGCTCCCCTGCTGACGACAGCACACGGCGTCCTGTAGACGGCGAATACGGTGGTCTCTTCCTACCGGTACGTCCTCGGTCGATGAGCGTGTGCGTCTTGGTGCTTGCTTCCCTCAAAAGAGAGGAAATCCATCGATATATATAGGAGGCTATCTACCAGATGTGAGTGCGGCAGCAGCCTCTGTCTGCTTAGTCATCTACACTCTTGGGGTGCCACATCAATCTATGGTGTAGGGTAGGTGGATCTCCAGAGAATTAGTCGGACGGCGGGACACAGTCCAAGGGTTGGAGCGAGGTCTTATTGCTCGTATGCATGGATACGCTACGCGGCCTATAGGTGAGAGGAGGGCCGGAGCAATAAGGTTCATCCCGGCTTTTTATCGGCAAATACCAAAAACATGTGCGTACATGCTGCTGTAATCTCCCGTGACGAGAGGGCAACGGACATCCGTCAGAACAGACGCGCGGAGAAGAGAAAAAAAAAACCAGCCATAACTCACGACATAGACAAAGAGCCATCAGCGTTCAGACCCCAGCATCGATCTGCCCTCTCCACCGCCGTCGCGCCTTGTCCGGATCAGCATCCTTCTCTCTTTCCGTCTCCCCCTCTCTCCCTCTCATACAGATAACACGTCCGCAATCCTTGCGTTGGCGTGACCTCGACCCTCTCTCCTCATACCCCGACTGTGCTGAGACGCTTCCGCACAGTCTGCCCTCGGCCTCGGACCCCCCCAAAACCATCTTTCCCCCCTTCGACTATATGCAACAAGTGCCCACTGAGCGTTCCGAACATCGTCACCAGTCCGGCCATCCCTCGTCCTCGATCACCACCCATCAACATGGCTCCTCCTCGCTCCATGATGATGACCCCGCTCGCCGCCTCGACGGCCCCGCACAGCCCGTCGTCGACTCCTCCCGCTCTCCCAGAGTCGACGCTGGTGCTGACGCCACCGCCGTCGATGCTGGTGGCCTGGACGAGAAGCTTCGAGGGCTGAGCCCGGGCTCTCCGGCCCCTGCCAACGGCCACGATAACCGTGATGCCCCGACTCACGGTCAGAGAATCCTCGACTACGAGAATGCTCTGAACCCGCCTACGCCCAGGCAGGCTCTGGGAATCAAGGTCGTCAAGCGTCCTGATGGCTACGTCCCCGGCGCCGTCAGCATCCAAGATTTCCCCAACGGTCAGTTCTCTCGTCGACGACGCAAAGGCTCATGCACGGATGAGCGCCCAAGTCGTGGAAGAAGCAGACAGTGTCCCTAACTCGTTACCTGCGTTGCAGAAATCTTGACATGTGTCTTGTCGCATCTGCACCCCGACTCGCATGCTGCCGTGGCACTCGTCTCGAAGCGCTTCTACGCTCTCATGACCACCCCGCACGCCTGGCGCATGGCCTTCCTCCGCTGCTTCCCTGCTCACCAGGTCCTCGAGTCTAAGCGTGGAGGGGGTGCCGACGGCATCCGGAAGGAGCCGACCGCCGACGTCATCCGCTCCGAGACGCGTTACTTCCCCCGCCTCACCCCCCTCGCAACCTGGCGCAGCGAGTACCTCTTCCGCACCCGCCTCCTCCGCAGCCTCGAACGGGGCAAGCCCGGCGGCGGCTCCGGCGGCATAGGCTCCTCCGGCGCCCGCCAGTCTGGCAAGAGGGTCAGCGCCGTCCTGACGTACAACTCTAAGCTGCCATGGCTCATCACGAACATCCACGCCGTCTTCGCCAACGGAAAGAAGCCTCCGCGTGCCGTCCAGGGTGCCTCGGACCTGGGTGTCGCCACCGTCAGCGACCCGACCTCTGGAAAGGTGGAGAGGTGGGGTCTGCTCGACCCCGTCTCCTTCCCCCAGCTGGACGAGGTCATGCCGCACGTCGTGCCCTACGGGCTCGACGAGGGACCCGCTGCGGCTCCCAACGTCATGGATGTCAGCCAGCCCTACGGAATGCTCGGCGGACAGGGCTTCCCCGGTGGCCGCGCCTTCTTCCGCAGCACGGCCGAAAACCGCGGGCGCTTCCTCCGCTCTCAGACGAACGCCGCGCAGCGTCATGCCGACATCCCCCGCGTCCCCGAGCTGATGGAGGGCATCTCCAGCGTGTGGCTGGCCAAGTCGTCGGCCGTGCCCGCCGCCACGCACTCCATGATCGGCATGCTGACCGGCTCCACGCTCGGCGTCGTCACGGCCTACTCGCTCGGCTGGGACCCCAGCAGCGCCCGGTCCGACGGTGACATGACGGCGCAGTGGGTCCTCAGCCCTGGCGTCCCCATCACCGCGCTCAAGGTGGACGACAACTACAGCATCCGTCGCAGGTCGGCCGCCAGGATTCTGGCCGTCGCCCTCAATGCCCTCGGCGAGGTTTTCTACCTGACCCAGCCGCCCGTCAGCGTGCCCGCCAACCCCAGGAGCGAGGACCTCATCAAGGCTGCCTGGCTGGCGGGTCGGACGACGTGCTGGCATCTTCTGGAGGACACTCGCCGCGTCGCTCGTCCTGACGGGCGCGACGCCGACGCCGTCCGCGGCACGTACTCCCCCAGGTCGTCAGGGGACTCTACGAAGCTCAGCCAGGAGCAGAAGGTCGCCGAGGCCAGGGAGATTGAGGGGTTCTTCCAGAACATGCCCTCGCACTTCAACAAGGTCTGCCAGGGCTGGGACATGCGCCGCCGGCTCGAGGTGGACTTTGCGAACGATGACGGCAGCGGTGCCGGCGAGGCGGTCTTCGTCATCGACTGCGGCATGGCCGAGGGCCGCCCGGCCCGCGTCCAGCGATTCACGAGGTCCAGGGTGGCCGCTTCGCAAGAGCATGAGGTGGCTGAGAAACCCGGGAACCTCCCGCCGCCTTCACTCTTCGGTCGCTCCGACAGCGAGGCAGTCTTGCCCGCCAAGACGCCCGAGACGCAGCCTCCCACGCCGCCGCCTCCTACCGGCGGCACCGTTCCCCAGGACGCCTGGGCCTGCCACACCATGCGACTCAAGGGCGGCGACGGAACCACCATCTCCGCCAGCGCCCTCGACTGCTCCTCGCAGTCGTGCACGACGCTGTCGGAGGACCTCTTGCACGTGGCTGGCGAGACGGGAGACGCTGCGGATCAGGGACCCGCGGAGATTCCAGGCCGCAGAGCCAGGTTCCTGGTCGTCGGGACAAAGAGCGGCGCCGTGCTTGCGTGGAATGCCCGCGAGAAGGTGAAGGCTCCGGACGAGATCCAGCCGGTGCGCATCATCCAGACAGACTCGCCCGAGATATCCTGCGTGGCCGCCACGGCGCTGTACCTCGTCCATGGCGGGAGCGACGGCCTCGTGCAGGCCTGGGAGCCGCTAGCGTCGACGCGTGAGGTCGTCAGGACGCTCAACGGGCGGTCCAACGGCCGGGCGCCGCGGCACATGATGACGATGAACCCTGCCCTGCACGAGGACAGCTACTCGGCGGTGGGGGCCATCTACCTGGACCCGGACGCGACCGTGCTCCGGGGCATCGTGTCGTTCGGCGCCCTGATGCGGTACTGGACGTACAGCTCGACGGCGCACCCGGGGGGGCGCAGGCGACGCGCGCGTCACCACACGGATGTGCACGGGCGGATCGGCAGCCGTCGCCAGGGCGGCACGAGCTCGCGGTACATCGCGGCCGAGGAGGAGGAGCTCCGGCGGGAGGAGGAGCGGGCGGCGCGCGAACAGACGCGCCTGCGCAAGCGGTTCGGGTCCCTGGGCGACCTGACGGAGGAGGAGGCGGTGCGGTACGCGCAGATGGTGTCGGAGGAGTCGTTCAGCGTCGAGGAGGAGCTGCGGCGCGCGAGCACCAGCGACTCCGCGACGAGCGCGAGCACGGGGTCCGTGTCGGCGTCGTCGGTCAGCGAGGTGACGACGGTGGAGATGCTCACACCCGAGCCCGAACCGTCCGTCCCGGCCACCGGGGAGGAGTCGGACTACGAGCAGCAGATCCAGCAGGCCATCCGTCTCTCCCTGCTCGAAGGTGTTCAGGGGCAGGGTCAGGGACCGGATGGAGCCGACCCTGGCTTCGCCGTCAAGTACAAGGTCAAGGGCAAGAAGGTGTCCCAGCCTGCCTCTCCCTCTACCGGCGGTGCCGCCGCTGGTGGTTCTTCCTGGTCCGGTGCGGGTGCGGGTGCGGGTGCGGGTGCGAGGTCTGGGGATGTGCAGGATGACGATGAAGATCTCGCACTCGCCCTCAGTCTCAGCATGCAGGATCAGGAGCACGAGTACCGGGATGCAAGGGATGTACAGGGTCAAGAAAGGGGGAAGTTTGAAGAGTTTCCACCCCTCGAGACAGAAGGTGTAGGTAAAGGCAAGGGGGTTGTGAGGTGGTGATGTGTGTACATTGTGTGTTTGTGCGTGTGCGTATGCGTGTTTTCTCTTATTTTTCTTATAGTTTTTTTTTTTAAAAAAAAAATCTTTTTCCATCTTCATCTTTCTTCCTTCGTTCTCCTCTCTACTTTTTTTCTCTTTTTTTTTTCAATATTCTCTAGTGGTTTTTCTAGCGGTAGACATTTGACCATCTTGGAGTGGAATTTGGTTTCTTCTTTTCTTCTTTTGAAATACAATAGTTTGTTTATATTTTTCTGATTGTTGAGCTTCACAACATGATTTTATAGGCACTGCATTGTAGTAGTAGTAGTATATAATGGAGAAGAGAGAAAGAAGCAAAAGCAAAAAAGAAGACAAGTATCATTTTTTAGTCCAACTTGTAAATGAGGATGAACATGAGAAACACCCCATTTTCCATCCAATCCCGTAGAGTCCGATATAATACAAAAAAAAAAGACAAAAAAAGACAACACACCCCTCCCCCCAAAACTCAACATGTCTAGCCCACCAAACAAGAATGAAATGCTCAAGTATCCATCATAATTCATGTCAAACCATTCAGAAAATAACACGCCAAAACAGACAGGACCGAAACCGCCGTCAAGAGCAGGTTGGGATACACTATACCTGCACCACCATCATCATCGACAACACTTATACTGCTTCCCGTCCTGGTAGGCTCAGAACTGGTGTCAGAGCTGGTAGAAGAGGAAGAGCTTCTGGGAACGATGGTAGTCGTGACGGCATCGTCGTCGTCACCGCCTTCACCCTGACCGTCCGACCTGATCAAGGTCATTGTGCCCACCTTGACGCCGTCTGAGCCAATGGTCAGGACCTGGCCGCCCAGAGATGTGGTCACTGGCTTGTCGGCCGTGGCGTCGTTCCCGATCGGGTACGTCTTCCCTCCGACGACGACGGCCGTGGAGCCAATCTGCGTGACTGATGCGCCTCCTACGATCTCGTGCTCCGTGCGCGTTGCCTCGACCGTCAGTCCGCCAAAGGTTGAGTTGTGGACCACCACCACGCCCTCAGGACCCAGCGTCATCGTGTCGTCGTCAATGGTTGTCGTCGTCCAGGATGGCGACGATGTCTGACCCTGGTTGGCGGAGGAGGAGGAGGAGGAGGAGGAGGAGGAGGAGGGGGAGGAGCTGTAGGTGATCGTCTTGGAGTGTATGACGACTACCGTCGGACCGATAAAGGTGGCTAGATCACCACCCGCGACTAACACGTGCGTCGGCTCGACAGACCACGTCATCGTCTCTGAGGAGCCGACGATCACCATGCCCGGGGCGATGGACACGTGTTGCCCGTCAATGACGCTCGTCGTGCCGTCGGCCGGGACCGTCATCTTGTGTCCGTTTCCGATGTCGACGACCGAGCCTGACGCTGAGACGTGCACGCCGTTCACCATGCTCGTGGTGGGTCTTGTCTCGGGTCGCTGTGGGGGAGCAGGCTTGGTGACTGTTGTACCTCCGCCCACGACGGCAGTGGGGTTCACGGTGAAGACTTCTCTCGGCCCGCTCCCACTGCCGCTGCCGCTGCCGTCGTCACTGCCGTCGTCACTTTCGCTGCCACTGCCGCCGCCGCTGTCACTTCCGCTGCCGCTACCGCTGTCACTTCCGCTGCCGCTACCGCTGCCGCTGCCGCTGCCGCCATCGCTGTCTACGGTCACTGTCGTGGTCTGGCCGGCAGAGAGATGGTTGTATGTTTTGCCGTCGATGACGACGTATGTTCTCCCTGCCGTGATGGCGTGGCTAGGCTTGGGTGATGCCGTAGTCGCCGGCTCGGCCTGGCTCTGACTGCCATGGCTGTGGAGAGCCGATTTGTGCACACCGGGGTCGGGGAGCGGGTTGTCATGCGCGGCCGAGTAGTTCGGGGTGGGGCCGGGCGAGTACACAACAGAGGGGTTCTTGTCGGTGGTGATGAAGGTAAAGGTCAAGCGCGGCATGGTGGTGCCCATGATTGTGGTGGTGGGTTCAGAGCCGGTGGCACCTTCAGAGCTGGTCCGGGTGGCGGTGATGCTGGGCTTCTTGGAAAGCTTACGGGATTGGCAGTACGACCTCGTGCTGAGGGTAGGGTAGGGGGCCGTGTAGTTGGACGGGTCGCCGTAGAAGGTGGTGGTGGCCGTGTGTGTGATGATGATGGTGGTCGGGGGACGATCCTCGTCCGGGGGGATGCAATCCGACTCTGAAGAGGTGATGCGGGACGCAGGAGAGGTCCCCCAATATATCGTGCTGACGGCGGGCGTGACCAGAGGTGTCGAGTGGTTTGCATACGATGGCCTCTCCCCTGGGGTCAGAGGAGGTCTGGGTGTGAAGGCGGGCATGCTTGGCGGAGAGTATGCTGGGACGGATACGGCATCGCGGTTTGACGGGCCTGGAGGAGGATATGTTAGCATGTCCGTGATCTCTGGCCACGCGCTTGTGCGTGTCGATTTACCCCTTGGTGTAGCTGCCGATGCCGGAACGGCAGCAGCAAAGAGCAGCGCGAGGCTCAGGGACCCCATGGCGAAGAAAAGAAGAAGAAAACGAGTGACGGTTTTGCCTGTGCGTGTCTAGAGGCCGAACGTGCTCTGGGCGTAGTATCTTGCAGGACGAGAAGTTCAACCAAGGAATGCTGCGAGGAACAGACATCAAGCAAGGCTCATGGCTAAGCCAGAGTTGATGTAGTGTCCCGACACACGGCGGGACGCGTTGCCATATGGCGGTGATACGAGACACAGCCCTGAGGTGAAGAGAACTTGTCACTCGAGGATCTGTGCGTGAGGCGCATAAAAGCAGTATATGTATGTGTACGTGTATGTGCGCGTATGTGCGCGTGTGGAGAGGGGCAGATGATGAGGTACCTCCAGCCTGGACCAACGATAGACAGGTCTGAGACAATGTAAGCGAGGCGAGAGACAGTCAGAGACGGAACCGCTCGGCAAGGGATGCGGAATGCGGGATGCAGGCCGGTTGGAGCCTGAAGGAAAAGGAGCGGAAGCCGTTTGCTGGCTTGAGTAGGTTGAATTTGAGAGTCTCACGGCAGGTCCCGGCCCTGCAGATGATCCCTGGAACCCCCCTGGTCAATTAGTCGGGGGCGAGTGGAGATGCGGGCCCTGGCGATCTCAAATTGTCAATTCGTTGTTTTGTTTGAGAGGACAAACCCATTTCAGGGGGGGGGGGGGTAAGCAGATGTTAAAGAGCAGACAGCACGTCGTCGTTTGGCTCTGTCCCGTCCTCTCCCCTAGTCCCGTATGAGGAGTAAGAGTCGAGCGAGGTAAGCCCGATGCTGGTCAGTCCAGGCAGGAGGATCGCTGTTGGCTGCATGCACGAGGGCGGCACGAGGAGAGGGGAGCTTCGCTGTCAGCTAATGTCATGATATATATCCATGTTTGACCGACGCCAAGCTTGCTAGGCTTTCCTTCTTCTTCCCTCCCCCCCACCACCAGTGAAATTGCGGGACGCGCGCATTAACAGTGCTCGTCGGTCTGGGCGGAGCCAGACAGGATAGGCATACTAGTACGGGTACAGCGTAGGTGCATTGTGGAATCTCAGCGGTTCATCTTGGCAATACGAGCAGGCATTCGCGGATATTCTGAAGAATCGCAATCGACTCCGCTCGAGATGGAGATCAGCTATGCAGAGGTCGCGGATAGTCTCTGATTCCTAGCCGCCGGAGACGCATGCTCTGCGCTCGGTGATGCTTGTATAGATGAGGAGCGATACTCGCTGCATCGGTCCTGCGGACTGCCAGCTCGTGTTTGCGCGCGTGTGTGCGGCGGAGTGATTACTCTGTAGAGTTCATCGTAACCCTCGTACGGGATCGAGACGGCTCATGGACGAGACAATTGGCCAGAGTTTGCGGCCGGCCCTAGCAGGCTGACAGGTCTCGAAGGATTGACGACGGCGCGGGGCTAGAAACAAAAAAACAAAAAAACAAAAAACAAAAACAAAAATATGGCAACATGGTTCATTCGTTCGAGTATTTTGTATCGGTCGGTCGCTGACAGGATCCAATTACGAGCGTTACACTAAACAGGATGGGTCTCAGATTGTCAATTGGGGGCCATCGCATGGCCTAGCCTGTATTAATATCCCGTACTCGTTCGTACATATACAACGACAGTACGAGTACGGGTATGGTCAACGTTAGCATGAACTCATGCCGATCGGTTTGGCTTGAGCATCCATGGCATGATGCACAGCCCGTACGAGCCATATACGATACCGCCCCGAACCTTGTATCGCCGATACTGACCAATCTCCCACACCAAACCGGGCCGGCCAGGTCACATGGATGGCTGCTCTTCCCTTGGTCTCGTCGGTTCGACAAGCGTTGACCATGACACTCAGACGGCCTCATCAGATGCCTTGCCTCCCGGGCACCCCCCATGTACGGCAGTCGAGCCTGTCCATCAGGAGTCCAGCCTGGTACCTTGACCACATGATTCGCAAGGGGGGGCATCCACTGACCGTCATCGAATCCCGTGAGCGTGCGGCACAGAATCCGGATCCTGGAATGGTTGACCAGTTGCTGGTTCCCGTTGGCTGTTACCTCTCCGAGTATCAGGGCTCTCCCTCTTCCGTTGCGGCGTGATCTCGCCTCATGCATCGTCATCGGCCTTGCCAAGTTCCACGTGGCAAAGGGAGAGAGAGAGTGTGTGTGTTTCACCTGTTCCTGCTGCCGTATCGTATACATATGGTTGCGGTCTTGGATGTTTGGCTTTGCCGACGCATGAAGAATCTAAATCAAAAGGTGACATAGTAATACGGCATGTCCCCGAGACGAAACACACGGTGGCCATGTGTTGATTGCATTTCGCTGGCTCGCGAGAGATAGCACTGCCCGGACTCGTGTGTGAGAAGATGCCGACGGTGATGATGGTGACGAGACGATCACGACAGAATTGTGCTTGTCCTCTACGAGTATATTCTCACTGCGGCAGGAACGAACCGCTCCGCTCTTTCCTGCCTTCCGTCATTCTTCTGCACCTTGCATGCATTATTATGTACGGAGTATTCATTGTACAGATTATCATGGCATTATTAGCGATAGCCGTAGGGCAGGAGCGACCAGCGCACTGCCAGCCCACGGGCCACTCACTGTCTTCATGCCCCCGCCCCCTCCCTCCGGCTCCTACGGGTTTATGCCTGATGTGCTGTACCTGTACACCGCCAGTGCTCTGACCTCTCTGCCGAATCCTGCCTCCGTTACTCCCTACAGATTATCTACGTCCCTTTCTCACTGGCGTCGCCTCCCTGTGTGCAGGTATGAGTAGACTACGACTCACCAAGATAACGCCCTGGCCTCTCTTCCCTGCATGAGTATGTCTACGATACAGATCTGCAGAGTCTACGAGCAGCAGTACTACCTGTGCCTGTAATCCGTACCGTGTACGGGACTACGAGTGGACTGTAATCATATCCATGCACAGCTCGGTATTACTGCCGATCCAGAGTTAACGAGCCCGATAACAAACTTGGAAACCCCTTGTCATCCTTGGCACAGACGCAGACGAGACAGTCGACCGGCAAGACCCTTTCCCAGTCTTTACCTCGTGATACGCCGTAAGGTGGGCGGCAGGTCAGACAATTCCTCCCTCTCCCTCTCCCTCTCTCTCTTCCCCGTAATCCCCAAGTACCGCCGTCGACTACCTACGAGACTGCTGCTTCTCGTCTCTCCCTCTACTTGTTCCTTCTCCTCGAAACCACTGTCGCTACCTCTCCTCTCACATCGCGGCCCCCCCCCCCCCCCCCCCCCTTCCATCCTCGATTCGGCTCCCGGATAAGCCTCCCAAGACGACGGGATACCGCGTCCGGCTCAAGAGACTTGTTTAGGACAGTGGCGCTGTCGTAGAAGAAGACAAAGGCATGATCGCCGCCTCGCCCGCCCGTGTCTCCCACTGGGCGCCATGATGCCTTCGCCACCTTCCTTCGCACTCGCCGCAGCCGCGGCGCTCCCACTCATCACAATCGCCCTCCCCGCTGTATCGGCAGACCGTCAGCGCCAGGCCGTTGCCTTACCCACGGGATCGTGGTGCGTCCTGCCCTCTCTTCCCTGGTACCACCGCTCGGAACCGATCTCGAGCATGGATTGCTGACCGACTCCATGTGTCACAGGGCTGGAATCGATGGAAACTGGTCAACCACCGAGCTCGCCATCGGATCGGAACACCAGACTGTCGATGTCCTCGTGAGCACAGCCTTGTCTGAGCTCTGGGTCGTCGGCCCCGGAGGATGCACTGCCAGTACGTGCACATCCACACACATCTACACGCAAGCGGGCGGCAGGGACGAGAATGAGGAAGGGGAACGCATACTGACACTGCATGCATAGACGAGCCCCGATGCGCATCCCACCGCGGAAGTCTCTTCGACCCCTCGAGATCGAGTCGCTGGGAGGCCCTGGGCATCTGGCAGCTCTCGCTACAGTACCTGGGCATCAAGGCCAACGGCGAGTACGGAATGGACACCGTCTACATCGACAGCGATGCTCTGGATGGCGGGGAATTGGCATTGGAGAATACGCTCACGGCCGTCATCAACACGACGAATCCCTACCTGGGGCTGTTCGGTCTCGGCATCAACCAGGCAAGCTTCGACTCAGATGTCATCACGACGCCCCTGATCTCGGCTGTCCAAGAATCAAAACTCATCCCCAGCTACAGTTATGGCTTCACGGCCGGTGCACACTACCGTATGTCTTACCCATCCATATACAGACCGTCCTCCCCTTTGACTGACCTCGTCGCAGGTAACATCCCGGCGTCCGTTACCCTGGGCGGCTACGATTCGGCAAGATTCGTCGACCACAACGTAGATTTTGCCACAACCGTCGACGACAACCTGGCGCGCACCTTGGTCCGAGCCATCGAGGTCCAGAAGGCTTCCGACGACTCGGACTCAAGCACAACCATCTCGCACTTTAACAGTTCCTTTACCGCCCTGATTGACACCTCAACACCCTTCCTCTGGTTTCCCGATTCCGTCTGCGAGAGCTTCTCCGACGCCTTGGGCCTGACCTGGAACGAGACGCTCGACGTCTATACCATCACCGACGACCAGTACCAAGAGTACATGAAGCCCGACTCATACAACTTCACCTTCACCCTATCCGACGCCAACAACTACGACACCCTGGGCAACGCGTTGGAGACATCTGGCGTTGTAGTCAACATCACCGTCCCCATCAGGGCCTTCGTCAGCACCCTCCAGTACCCGTACAAGGACGAGATCATCAAGTATGGAGACCCGGCTATTCCGTACTTTGTACTGCGGAAGTCTGGGCGGGACTCGACCATTGCCATCGGCCGATCCTTCTTCCAAGAAGCGTACATGCTCACCAAGTACACCGAGGCCACCTTCTCCATCCACCAGGCACGATTTCCCGATGACCCGATTGGAGATGCCGACATCGTCACCATAGACGACGGGTTCTACAGCGACTCGTCCGGCTCCGACAAGAAGCTGAGCGGCGGCGTCATCGGGGGAATCGTCGTCGGCGCCTTCTCGGGCCTGGCTCTGCTCCTCACACCAGCGTGGTGGTTCTGGCGCCGTCGTCGCCGCCAGCAAAAACAGGCGGCAGTCGACGCCGCCGGTGGTGACGAAGCCGCCTCGAGCGGCGAGGACAAGAAGTCGGTCCTCTCGAACAAGGCGCGCAGCTCCCCGGTAGGCCGTGTCCTCGGCATATTCAGTCGGCGTCTGCGGCCGTCGGCGGCAGACGACATTCGGGAGGAGAAGAGCATCCCTGAGGCGCCAGAGCACCACCAGATATACGAGATGCCAGCCCCCTTGCCGCCCGTGGAACTCGATGCCAGCGGCATACACAACGACGTGCCCGAAGACGACGACGGCACCGCCCTCGGGCTCGACGACCCGCACCAGCAACAGCAGAGTACCTATGAGCGCGCCCGCATCAGATTGGACAGGCAACTGGCCGGCCCTGTACCAGAGTACTCGCCCCCCCAGGACGGGACAAGCGTGCTCATCGAGAAGGACGGGGCCGGTATGGAACGGTCCGACTCCCACACCCGACAGCAGCTTTCCCACTCGTCCACCATGGGATCTACCATTTCTTCCATCGCCCCGAGCGACGACCGGTGGGCCTCGCAAGGGAACACGACCTCTTCATCGGGATACGTACAGTCTGAGCCGTCGAGCGGGGCCACACTTGCCACCCCCACGGTCGCATTGGATCTGCCCGTGCCGTCCCAGATGCAGAAGCAACCGATCGATACGTCAAAAGTGGTGTATCTGGGGTCACTGCCAGGAGACAGCTACCCCGCCGGTGGTGCCGGAGACGGTCTTTCTACTCGGCAGCACCTCGAACAGATTGAGCGCCTGCAGCAGCAGGAGCAGCAAAACACGACAAGACAAGATCAAGGAGACCGCCGACGATCATCCGTCAATACCCTAGGGAGCAACTTTACCGAGGAAGAGAGGGAGCGTATGGAAGAGTGGGTCGCCGCCGCGGGTGGGCAGTCCGCCTCGGCGTCGCACCATGCGTCACATCATACGTCACGGCAGGCACGGAGGTCGGAACCTGTCGAGATGATTCATGTTCCGCAACTTGCCGAGAGGCGGTATAGTTGGGAGGAAGGGACAGGTTAAGAGAGGATATTCTCTCTTCTTCTTTTTTTTCTCACCTCATCTCTCTTGTATACTTTTTTTTTTTTTGGGTGTGATATGGGACATGCTTTACATCCTTGGACACAGGATTGTCGGAGTCGGTCATTTGGAAAACAAAAAGAGGGATTTTTCTTTTTCTTCTTCTCTTCCAGCGAGAGCGGGTTTGAAATTTTGACATTTTTTGAATAGATTATTCGTGGGTTTGGCAAGGAGTTTTGTTTATTTTTATATTTTGGTGGTCATATTCGACTACAGTATATGCATATGCTTTTCTCTTGTCGTTATTGCGGTTGTAGATGTAAACATGTAGCCTTGGGCGATTAAACTTGTAGATGATGTAAATCACTTGTGTATAGGCCCGAAAAACAGTACATGTACATGTTTTGCGTGTCTTTGGATGCGTCCTGTCGTGGATGTGTAGCTTTCGGGTGACTTGGAAGTTGTAGAGGATGTAAAGCTACTTGTTGGCGATAACCCCGGATGAGGTAGACGGGGGACAAGATGTGACCGTAGGTGGGAGGGATGAAATCACCAGATCTCCTGCCACCAAGTCAACGAAGCCAACTTCTCCTCGCGGGCGTCAGCCTCACCAGCCGGAGCTCCCTGCCTATACGGCTCAAACACGGCATCCTTGCACGCGTCGGCCATCTTGGTGGAGCCGCCGCAGACGGCGAAGATGGCGTCCTGGGCTATCAAGTCGGCGACCAGGATGGCCTCGCGACGAACGAGGTGCTGAACGTAGACCTTGTCAGGCTGGTCTCGGGAGAAGGCGGTGAAGACGCTGAGGAGGCCTTGGCGGGACAGATGCTCCCACTCCTCCGAGAAGAAGTAGTCCGTCTGCCGGCTGCGGTTGCCGAAGAAGAGGACCATTGGCGGCGGTGGGGCGTCGCGGTAGTGGGAGAGGCGTTCCTGGACGAGGGAGCGGACGGGTGCGATGCCCGTGCCCGTGACCATGGCTACGAGGGGTCTCCTGGCGTTGGCGGGACCGTGGATGGGCGTCAGGACAGATTTCCGAGTGACTCGCAGGGCGGCGGGGGGGAGCAGGGAAGCAAGGTAGCGTGAGCATAGGCCCTGACGGGGACGGCGGAGGATGGTGCGGTAGCGGACCAGGGCGACGATGAGGTCGACGCGGACCTGTGGGGCAGAAGGGGAGGGAGAAGGGAACCCGTTTGTCGTCACCGAGACGGGTGTCGCTGCTGCTGCTGCTTCTGCTGCTGTTGTTGATGATCCTGCGTAGCTGGCGATGCTAAAGTCGCGACCGCGCATGAGGGGGAAGACGTCGAGGAGACGGTCGGCGGGGAGACGGACGGAGTGAAACTCGTCCAGGACCTCGAGGATGGTGCGGCGGGCGCGGGCGGCGTAGTCAAAGTACTCGTCTACGTATTCGTCGCGGGAGAGCTCGAGGAGACGGTCGCGCTGGTCGGGGTCGGTGGCGAAGTAGGATAAGCTGCGCAGGAAGGAGCGGCGCGGCACGGCGGTGATGTCGATGTTCTCCAGGAGGAGGGTGCGTAGGGTGCACGGGCGGGCGGGGTGGAGTCCCCGGGGGAGGGAGGGCAGGATGGACAGGTCCAGGTGGCGGTCTGCCTGGGCGGTCCAGCCGAGGAGATTGATGAGCCTGTCGACGTCCTCGGGGAAGTTGCGGGGATAGATGGTCAGACAGTCGCCCGGGTTGCAGGGGAAGACGTCGCCGTTGCTGTCGCTGCCGGCGATGTCGAACGATACCAGCCGGACGTCTTGCCAGTGCGTGTCCGGAGTCAGACGCCTGTTGGATACCATGGTGGCGTCCCGGCCGCCTGGTAGGGGGAGGGCCCGCGACGGCGGCGGACCGGCGAGGAGAGGTTCCGGGTCCGCGTGTACCACGGCGCCGGGGCCGTCTTGCAGTCTGTCTAGGGCCGGGGCTAGCGGCCACCGGGGCGGGAGGAGTACGTCATCGGGGATGGGGGTCAGACCTTCCGGGAGGGGGTTGAGTTCCAGGAGGCGCTTGGTCAGGCGTTTTGTCCAGGAGGAGAAGAGGCTTTCGATTCTGTTTGTTTGGTTTGCGGAGGGTAAGTTAGTTGGTTATACGAGATTGGGTGGGTTGGGATGGGATGAGATAATGTTTACCCGTCTTGGAACTGCTCGTCTGCTTCGTACGAGTCGAAAAAGGGACTGGCTCCGAGCTGCTCTAGGCGACGGATGAGCTTGCGGGCGGCCCAATTGAATCTTGAAGTACTCGAGGTGTTAGCGATCGTGCCTGTTGGATATATATGAGCACGTGTAGGTAGTGCATGGGCGTGACGTACTTGACATAGGTGCTATCTCCTAGACCGAAGCACGTATACCTCAGCTGGTCGAGACAGCCCGGAGGTAACCTCTTTCGAAGTAGTTTGCGCCAGAAGAGGAGTGAGTTGTGAGGCATATCTCCCTGACCCGTGGTCGAGATGACGAAGATGACGAGGCCATACTCGAGGAGGGCACTCTGGAGTGATGGTGAGTCAGTCTGGATGGATATGTGATTGACATCTTCCCCGCCTTCTCAGTCCGGAACAGGGCTCGCTCACCAGATCAATGGCATCAAGCTCGTCGACTCGGTTGGCGAAGCGAAGCCGTGTGCACAGTCTACCCAGCTCCTCTGCTATGTCTTGGGCGTTTCCCGTCTCTGAGCCGTAGACGATGAGGACGCTCCGGGCAGACCGGGTCATGACGATTGGTTGTTGGCTGGGCTTGTAGCAGCTGTATTCGTTGACGGCTTAGATGAGTGAGTGCATGAGAGAGGGATGACGGAGGTACAAGTGCTGCCGAAATTTCCCCATCCATCTGAGCCTTAATATTGGGTTTCGACGACGAGTGACGGAGAGGGTGGGGTGTTTGGAGTGTTTGTGTGTGTGTGTTTCTCTTTTTTTTCTTCTTGTTGGTAATAGTTCTAGCGTCTTCCCCTCCATTGTTTAACTGGGGCAGATCTTATCAATCGGATGTGACGCTCAACACTGATATGCGGAGTAATATACTCATGTGCGACTTGCTTCCAAGTATATATCTGCTGTACTCTCATATTCCAGAGTAAGATATTCAAAGCTGATGAGACGAGACAGATCTGTAGGCCGTACTGAAGTTTGTGTGTGTGCCCATACCCCCCCTTCAAAGTGCGACGGTGTTCATAGTGGCCAGCATGGGTGAGTTGAGCTGGCAGAGAATTCATCAGTCATCAGAAGTCTGATGTATTACCGAAAATCTGACAGGGAGAGTGAGACATACTCTCTCGATACATGTGGCGATGCCTGGCTGCCATCATTGCTATCGTCCGTATCTGGTCAAACAACCCATGGTGTCGGGACGGGCTAGCGGGGTCTCGTATCCATGTCTCACTGTCTCCGTCTGTTGATACAGCATGTTTCTGTCACGCACATCGGTGTATGATCATGCAGTAGATACTACCACACATCATTCGTAGACTGATGATGGATGTGAGATGACGGATGCCATGGGGGAAAGAGAGGAGAGCACTGATGTTGTACTGTGCTGTACTATTGCCACTCTAATCTGTATGGGCATCGAAGATACTTCAGAGGCAACTTGGCACTCAACTTGGCATCGGCCGACCTGCCATGGCCCGGCCTCCCCATTGTTAATCACGTGTACAGCTTACATATATCTATGAACATCCGCCAAAAGTAAAATGGAAGGTGCCACGGGTTGGCGACTGTATTATCCAGTGCGCCATGGATACCATGAATACCCTCACGGCTGCTACCAAGGAAACTGCCAGGTCAAGATGCATGGCTCTTGCCCTGACAGCTGGCAGGAGCGGCATCAAATCCCCTATTCGCGCATGAGTCAATGCTGATATTACCAGTATGTCCTGCAATAATATCGCTGCCCGTACGGAGTACATGATACATGTACGGCATATTACCCTCGTGCCTTTTTCTTCTTCCTTCTTTTCATTGCCTCCCTTTCTCTTACATCGTACGGCCGTAATCACAAAACGATCAACCTTTACAGAGACCTACAAGTCGTTTTCATACCCTCACAGTCCCTACCCGAGCACACACCGCATTGCGTGCTTGGGTGCCTGCCTGCCTACGCAAGACATCGAGCAACCTTCTTTCCACTACCACGAGGTTCCAGGAGGCACGCCCCGGTGCGTTAACGTCATGTCCGCCAGTCCGCCAGCTGTCCGCCAGTTGCCACGTACCTGTAATCTACAGTATGTATTGCCGGGCCTGTCCAGCGCAGCGCTTAGAATGAGTGGGTCACCCCTTCTGAGCTCCCCCCACAGGCCCACAGGGTCCCCCCGTCACCTCCCCCCAATCCTCTACAGCTACAACCCACTGTAGACAATAGGCATCTTTCCAGTAAATATTAATACCACGTTAAAAAAAAAAAGAGCTCTCTCCTATCATCTATGTACTAGCAGGTGCTACAGGTGTGGATGTGTGCATGCCAGCGGTGCGCCACAGAGGCAGGCGCAAAGTTCGGTGTATTTGCCTCTGGCTGCTGCTGCCCGGGGGGGGGGGGAAAATTATTTCAGATTCGCGACTCCCATCCTCCCTCTCCTCCCCCTTTCCCTTCTTCCTTTCAACACACCTCTCTGTCAACTTTCTGTGTCTCCCACAAACAACGCTCCGCCGTTTTTAATCCCACTCTGTGTCTAGGGCACGAAGCTACCCTGTTAACCTCCTCTCCCTCTATTGCTCACGAGTTCGATACCACCCGAACTACCCCCCTCTCCTTTCAAGCCACGTCTTTCGAACCCCAGGTGCCTCCACACACCCCCAAGTTCGAACGTCATAACCCCGAGTCAAGAACTCCATCGTCAAGACCCTACGTCCATCCCACACCCTTCAAGCTTTCATCATGTCTGCCGATGCCTCCGTGGACAAGGTCCCCGAGACCACCGTGGACGAGGTTGCCAACACTCTGAGCAATACTACCGTCAATGACAAGGCCGCCGCCAACGAGGCTGCCTCGGCCAGTGCCGCCGAGGGCCGTCGTCTCTACATCGGCAACCTGGCCTATGCGACAACTGAGGGAGAGTTGAAGGAGTTCTTCAAGAGCTACCTCGTGTAAGCTATATCTCCTCCTTTCCTCTCTTCTTCTTTTCCCCCTCTCAGCATTTTCAGCCTCCTCCCGTCCCTGGCCCTCTCTCACCGCACCCTCACCCGACCCCTCTCCATATACCATGTCTTCCCTGTGCTCTTCTTGTGCTGACTGTGGCATCGCAAATTAGTGAGTCCGTCTCGATTCCCAAGAACCCCCGCACCGAGCGCCCTGTCGGTTACGCCTTTGTCGACCTCTCGACCCCCAGCGAGGCTGAGCGTGCCATCGAGGAGCTCTCCGGCAAGGAGATCCTCGAGCGCAAGGTCTCCGTTCAGCTCGCCCGTAAGCCCGAGCCTGCTGGCGAGAAGGCCGAGGGCGAGGCCGCCGGTGCCGAGGGCACCCGCCGCCGTGCCTCCGGCCGTGGCCGTGGCCGTGCTCGTGGCCGAGGTGGCCGTGGTGCCCGCTCTGGCCGTACCGTGAGTCACGCACCTCCAGTCCCCACGACAGCCCAACTGAGCCAAGCTGACTTTGAACAGGAGGGTACTGAGGAGAGCAAGGACGGCGAGGCTGCCGAAGCTGCCGACGCTGCTGCCACAGACGCTCCCACCGCTGATGCCAACGCCGAGGTATGGCTTGTTCCCGATATCTCGGAAGGAGAAGGGCGAACAGTACTGACAATCAAATCAAGGCTAAGAACAGCCAGCAGCGCCAGCGTCGTGAGCGTGGCCCCCCTGCCGACGGTGTCCCCTCCAAGACCAAGGTCATGGTCGCCAACCTCCCCTACGACCTGACCGAGGAGAAGGTCAGTCTGCACCCCCTGTAAGGGAGAGGCGTAGAAGGCTGTCAACATGTTCACTGACCCCAAGCAGCTTATCGAGCTCTTCAAGGACTACCAGCCTTCTTCCGCCAAGATCGCTCTCCGCCCCATTCCCCGTTTCATGATCAAGAAGCTCCAGGCCCGCGGCGAGGCCCGCAAGGGTCGCGGCTTCGGGTTCGTTACCCTGGCTTCTGAGGAGCTTCAGAAGAAGGCCGTCGAGGAGATGAACGCCAAGGAGATCGAGGGTCGCGAGATCGCCGTCAAGGTGGCCATCGACTCCCCCGACAAGACGGACGAGGAAGCCAATGCCCCCGCTGAGGAGGGTGAGGTCAACAAGGAGAACGACGGTGCCGCTGCTCCCGAGGCCACGGCTGCCTAAGTTCATATACTGCGAGCTATGCTAGGTTAGGTCTAATATGTCGGCCCGCACATGGCGGATATGTTTTATCTGCGAAACCGATTTGGCCCGAATTTTCTTATGCGGATGACTTGCTCTACACTTTTTTGCCAGAGGCGCCCTCACCCGCACCGGAGTCCAAGGTAATGATACAGACGAGCTGTGTGCCTATTCTTTTCCGCGGACCGAGGAGCGTGGTGCTGCATTGCCTTCTACTCTTAAAGGACCGACTCTTAATCTGTCCCCGAGCTGGGATCAAGATTCAAAGATGATGACAATTATTCTATAAAAAAAATTGAAAAACAATTAATGGCCTACCTTGCTTGATTGATTGCTCTGCTTGACGTGAAGGGAGAAGGGAATAAAAGATCCTCTCGCATATGGGGAACCACAACCTACCGTATCAGTAGATGGACAGCCCAGGCAGATGAGTTCTCGTACGTGGAGAAGATGACTGAATACAGAGACACTGATGTGTCACGGGCCACGAGAGCCACGAGTCCGGCGTCTACTCCGTACAGGTGATGAAGATGGGGTGAGTCTACGCTGTACGTATGTACTTGTACTCGTACATGCTACTGTAGTCTATAGCAATGTATTATACCGTACAATGCACTGAGCCAAGTCGGGAAAACACTGCATTCATAATTCTCAAGATTATGTGTTATGGCTTACGGACGTACGGAATTAAATTACCGTGTATTCATTACTACGAGAGTATGATTATGAGCAAGGGAAGACGGCAAGGATTATGGCGCGGGTGGGGGGGGGGGGGCATCATCGCTGTAGGCAGGTTGCTTTATTTTTTTATTATTGTATCTTTATTAAAACATGTATTTCTTTTTGTTATTTTGGTGTTTTTTTTTTTTTAATCTTGCTACTGCCTGCACCGCGCCCCGTTTTATCGTTGCTCCCCATCCCCCCCCCCCCTTGAGAAGCCTAGAACTTGGACCCGCGCTGTGACCTGTAATACCTACACTGAACTGCCGGGACACTGTAATCTACGTGCTAACGAACGAACACCTCAGCAACAAAACATTGTTACAAAGGCGCTCTGCTGATATTCGAAATACATCGCGCGCACCACCACCTGGCTTTGCACCGTGGTACTCTTTCTTCCCTTCTTCTTGTCATCTTTTAGCTGCCGTACACGGAAATCAAAGCAGGCAGCCCATCATGGCGACCAAGGCCATGTGGGAGGTTGACCCGGAGACACGATCCAAGGTAAGGGCAATGGGAGAGGAGGGAGGGAGAGGAGGAGAAGGAGAAGGAGGAGGAGAAGAGAAGGTTACCCGCCTGGTCCTGTGCTGACGCGGCAATCAAAACAGCTATCGGCCCTGCAGAGGGAGTCGAGCAATGGGGTGTGCTGCGACTGCAGCGCGCCGTCCCCGCAATGGGCGTCGCCAAAGTTCGGCATCTTCATCTGCCTGACGTGCGCGGGCAAGCACCGCGGCCTGGGGGTGCACATATCCTTCGTGCGCAGCGTGTCCATGGACGCCTTCAAGGCCATGGAGATTGAGCGCATGCGCCTGGGGGGGAACGACGGCTGGAGGCGGTTCTACGAGCAGCAGGTGGCGGCCTCGGGCGAGAGCGGGCTCATCACCTGGACCGAGGGCACCGACGCGGACCGGTATACCAGCGAGGCGGGAGAGGAGTACAAGGATCGTCTGACGTGCAAGGTTGAGGGGAAGGAGTACGTTGCCTCGGAGAAGAAAGCGCCCGCTCCCACCACGGCATCTTCTTCCGCCGCAGCCTCGAGGACCGCTTCGCGTTCCGGAACGCCCAGCGGTGCCGGTGCCAGACGTGGTGGCAGCCCTTCTGCTGGTGCCGGCGCCGGCGCCGGTGCCGGAACGGTGAGGGTGGACGATGCCTACTTCTCCCGCCTGGGGGCCGATAATGCCTCGAGGCCGGACCACATCCCACCCAGCCAGGGTGGCAAGTACGCTGGGTTCGGAAACACGCCCGAGCCTGCCGGCGGCGGTCAGGGGCAGGCCATCAACTTGGAAGATGTTCAGAAGGATGCGGTCGCGGCTATAACAAAGGGCTTCGGCTGGTTTACGTCGACGGTCACCCGGACAGCCAAGAATGTCAACGATGGGTACTTTCAGCCGGCGTCCAAGCAGGTACGCACCCGCACCCCTACTACACACAGCAGAGACGAACAGCGTGACAGAGGGGCAGAATGAAAGACAGCAGGGTAGGATAGGAAGGACGAAGACTGACAGAGAAAAAAACAACGACACAGTTTGCCGAAAGCGACTTTGCCAGACAAGCTCAACTCACAGCCGCTCAGATAGCTCGACAGGCACAGATGGCCGGCAAGAATGCCCAGGAAGGGATCAACAAACTCGTCGAGGGTCCCGCCGAAGGTGGCAGCGGCCAAGGTCAGGGCCAGGCGAGGACCCGGCAGCAGCAGCGCCGGGCCGGACCGGAAGAGAGCCGTCGCAGCTTCTGGGACGACTTCTCCAACCTGGCCGGGGGAGGACACCAGAGGGGTACGAGCCTCAGCAGCTCAGGAGGAGGTAACAGCGCCATAGGCACGAGCGCCATGGGCATGGGCAAGTCTAGGGCCGCGGGCGGTGCCGGGGCACCTGCGCAGGCGGCACCAAAGAAGCAGAATGATGAGTGGGACGACTGGTAGGGGAGAAGGGGAAACAGGAGGGGACGGTGGGCGAATTCCAGCTACGTGTGACTTGACTCTAGGGGGGAACAACATGTGCCGTGTTGGTGTTGGAAAGCGTCATTGGCATCGGGAGTATTTTGAGGGGCGTTTTTTTTCGGTTAATTTTTTCTTCACGTCTCCTTCTGTTTTTTTTTTCTTCTAAAAAAAAATAGTGTTTATGTATACTTTTCTTGTAATTGGATCACTTTCTCGGAGCAATTTGCGAGCGAAGCGAGGAGGACTCCCGGTAGGGCCACCGGAGGCATACAACGTCGAAAATCCCATGGGTATGCGAGCGGAGCGAGAGGAACCCCCCCGGTAAGGCCGCCGGAAGCAATGTTGGAAGATCAACAGCGCTCAGACCCAGGGGAGGGGGAGGTAGACGTATCTACACTGCGGTGCAGCCCAGTAGATGAAATACTTGGCTGCAGAGATAAAAGTATCTAAGCAAGACATTCACGACAGTTGAATATGGGATGGTGATGGAAGTCAGAGACCCATACATTCTGAGAACAGCGACGTCACGTGGAGCCGTGGCCCTCGGTTGGCTGGAGGCCGGGGTTAGCCGGCATCGCTCAGCCGACGTCGCTGGAGCTTTGGCCCCTCTGTTTTGCCGAGTTTCTCCAACCACCGAGACGGGAATTGGACGAAGCCGACGGCAGACATATGACATATACGACATACACATACGCAGAAGAGGACAGAAAGACAGACGATGTCGGCGCTACGAATCCTAGTACCCGTCAAGAGGGTCATCGACTACGCGGTAAATAGCCCCGATCAGGAAAAAGAGAGCCAGAGGGGGGGGGGGGGGGGGGGGGGGGGGTGACGGAGGAAGGAACAGAGAAAGAAGAGAAGGGAACGAAAGGCTAATCGATTGAACGGATGGTATGACGGTGCCGAAAAACAAAAACAGGTCAAGCCCCGCGTTAACAAGGCCATGACGGGCGTAGAGACGGCGGGGGTGAAGCATTCGATGAACCCGTTCGACGAGCTGTCGGTGGAGGAGTCGGTGCGGATCCGCGAGAAGAAGAGGGCGCCCGGAGGCGTGGAGGACATCTGCGCCATCTCGGCGGGGCCGGCGAAGGCGGCGGACGTGCTGCGGACGGCCATGGCCATGGGGGCGGATCGCGGGGTGCACGTGGAGCTCAGGGACGGCGAGGAGCTGGAGCCGCTGGCGGCGGCCAAGGTGCTTCGGGAGGCGGTGCGGCGGCAGAGGAGCAACCTGGTGATACTGGGCAAGCAGAGCATCGACGACGACGCGGCGCAGACGGGCCAGATGCTGGCCGGCCTGCTGGGGTGGCCGCAGGCCACGCAGGCGAGCGCCGTCGAGTTCGGCGAAGGCGACACCGTCACCGTCACCAAGGAGGTCGACGGCGGCGCCGAGACGGTCCGCGCCAAGCTGCCCATGGTCATCACCACCGACCTGCGCCTCAACGAGCCCCGATACGCGAGCCTGCCCAACATCATGAAGGCCAAGAAGAAGAAGCTCGAGAAGGTGTCGCTTGCCGACTACGGGCTGCAGAGCGACTCGCGTCTCAAGGTGCTCAAGGTTACCGGTATGCCATCTTCTCTCCCTCTCTCTCCCTCTCTCTCTCTCTCTCTCTCTCTCTCTCTTCTCTCTCCCCGCACACGTCTCTTCCCCGCTCCTCTTCTTTCTCTCTACTGCTACGATACGGTCGGCTGACACGAGATGCAGAACCCCCGGCTAGGAAGGGAGGTGACAAGGTCGAGGATGTCGGTGGTCTCGTGGCCAAGCTCAAGGAGCTGGGTGCTCTGTAAGGAGGGACATGTCTGCTGTCGTCAGTACATGCTCGGCGCGGGGGGGGCAGGACATTAAAGAATGGATCATTGAATGTCTGGGCCTCAGCTATCTGTCTGTGCAGAGAAGATGCGGTGATGATGCCCCCTTGCCTGTGCTCGAAGCTTGCACGTATGCACTGAAGCCGATGACGGTGTCGGCCGTAAATCCGTACAAGCTGCTGACTACCTGGGCAACAATAGTAAGCAGTGCAGATAGCTGGAACTAAGATAGTTGGAACTATCTGCACCGACATGCAGTATGATTGCCAGCAATGCGCATCAACGGTAGGAGAATCTACTCCGGACCCTGATTCCTAGCCGTTGACCGTCGACTCGTGGCTACTAGTATTCATGTATTCACCGTCATCACTGCGTGTGCCTGAGGTTCTTCAGCAGCGACGATGTCGGCGGACTGAAAAAGGCAAGGCTCGGAGCTCCCTCTGTACCTTCCCAACATCACGTCCCGCTAGATCACTCACGGGCCACTCAACTGTGCTGTGAGTAAGCTTGGCAGTGGGCTGCCAGTGCCAAGTGGGCTGCCAGTTGGCAATCACGCCGCCGGCCTAGACCGGAGACCGCCTTCTCCTTCACCTTGCCCCCGCTGAGAAAATTGTCCCACGGCGGCCCTTTCTGCTCCTGCTCCACATCACAGCATCCTTGAGACCTGATCACTCGATTCGAAAGGGCGTACGCTGTGATGGCCTGTGACCCCCCCCTACAGACCTCGGTACACGGTACGGGCGCTTGCAGGCTGCTACAGGCTACGAGCGGGACCGCTTCGCTCTGTAATCTGTAATCTGTACAGATTACATGATAGATTTATAGGGCAGTTCACGGCGCGACGGTGACCACCGATCTCGCCGCGTTGGATGGAGTCAGTCAGGGTCAGAGTCAGCCACATCCATCAGGGAGGGATGAGGGGTCCGGACCGTGGACCAGGAAGGACTGTGCTGCTGAATAACCGTACATCGATGATGATGAGAGGGAAGAGACTGGCGGGCTCCGTGAGAGAGGAGGCAGAGTAGAAGTGCAGGATAAAAGTAATAAAATAAAAAATTGGAAAAGAGAAAATTTTTCCTCGAGGTGGCTGTGACCAATTGGCTCTTACCCAAAACCCTTTGTCAATCGCACATGCTAATAATAAACCTCTGTACAGATGAAGACTCGCACCCGCACTCTTTACTCTTATTGTCTTCCCGCCTCCCCCGTTATCTCTAGTCCGATATGTAAAATCCCTAAAATTCTTCCCTCCACACCTAAATTCCTTCTCCCTTCTCCTTCTCCTCTGCTCCTTCTTCTTCCTCTCCTTCTCCTCCCCCCCC